CTGCTTCCCTCCACGGGCTGTGGGAAGATGCTACAGGGATGTTACAGTACAGCTGCTTTGAAAGAAAGGCCCCTCTACCTATCTGGGCTGCACACTATCACAGAAGGGTACACACACACACACACACACACCCTACTTCTTTCTCTTTCTTTCTTTCTTTTTTTTTTTTTTTTACTACCAGACCAAAGCTATTTTTATCGTTTGTCCAGTGACAGGCAGGAATAAAAATGGGCCAGCAGGAAAGCCTCACAAAGTGCCCTCGGAGTGATTGCAACCTGCACACACGTCCCTGGATTAACATAGCTCTTATGCACCAGGACTGGGACTCGGCTCCTGTCCCTTCTTGCTCCCTGTGACTGCAGCCCCTCGTCACTCCGCCACAGGCAGGGGGAAAGGGGGGAAGCCCAAAGCCGTGCAGGCACTTGACCCTCAAGGTGATCCTTCTCCTTCCAGCAACCCCAAGAGTAGAGGTGAGGTGGTGGGGGGAGGAAGGGCTTTAATTTTCTGGGAACTCACCTGGGCTTCCCGGCAACCCCACGGCCCTGAGCAGTCACCTTTCATTGTCATCGCTTTACAAAACAATCTTTGGTAAAACGAGGGAAAACGCAGAGTGTGAGACGATTTAGGGGAGAGCGGCTGATACGTCAGTTATTGACTATCGTTCGCTTATGAGCGCGCTCAAGGCAACACTGAGAACAAAATGACAACATCCACCGCTCACAATCAAGTGTGGCCCTGGAGAGCACTGAAGCCCTAACTGACAGTTGTCAAGATAATGGGGGCACGGCAGCTCATTCTGGAAGATTCTCTTCCCTAGGTGGATGTCCAGGGGGAGGGCCTTTGCCTCCTGCCCTCTTTGTTTTTCTCCCTCACCTTCTTGATTTTCCTTTTTTTACGATTTGCATTGTTCCACCCATTTTCTGGGAGAATGGGGGGTGGAGGGACGGGAAGCACAGAGCAGCCGAAACTAGTCATTTTGTCACCTTGCTACAGGCCAGAATACGTGTCCAGAGGAGAAACGTGTGGCAAGCTTGAGAGTAAATACATCCCCCAGGCTGACGCCGAAATGCCCTCCTGAATGTTCCACGTGCCTCTGACAGAGAAGAGGAAATCTCTCTGGAGCTGCCCAGTGTGAGGCTGAGCCTCACGAAGGCTAGGGCCGCAGAACTTAGACAGGTGCACTGTCTTTCCGGCATGCCCACGTCTCCTGGTGATACAAACCCCCTCTGCCATGCCACTACAAGCCCATCCTACCCCGGGGACCCACGGTGATCTGTCACACTAGCCGAGCCCAAGGGGTTCAAACCACTTTTGCAAGAGTGAAGATGCTTCAAGTTTCACCCTCTTGACCGGACCACCTAAGAACTCCCTGGAAGATTATTCTCTTTCAACGAGTAAGACTCACAAAGGTCAGTGGCAAGTTGTTGTTACTCGAGGGTGTGTGTGTGTGTGTGTGTGCGCGCGCGCAAGTTTAGGCAATTTTTTTTAATGATTTTACACGTCCCCCCAGAAAATGGATATGAATGGATAAAGCTATGAAATACTGCTCCAATTTTTTTTCTGGTGTCTTCCAAAACTGCTTTTCTTAAAAAACGGTATGCATAGGCAAGAGTCACATTTTAAGCGAGGGACAATGGTCATTGCGTCCGAAGGACACCGGCCTCCGCAATCCTGTTCCTCTGAAGCAGCAACATCTGTCCGGCACAAATGTACAGCCTCTCGCAATTACACACGTGGAGAAAGGACACTCCTGCCCAGGTTTCTCTTCGGCAGGTGAAGAAACGTCTCTCTCCTTTTGAGAAAGGACATTAAGCCATGCATAATTTCCTTCAAGAAGGGGGGAAAAAAAAGGAAAGAAAATCCTAAAGTACAGAAATACGTCTTTTCAGGGATTCTTGGAGCCGGTTGTGGCCTTCTGGAGAGCAGTGTGCTACATTTGGCCTAGATATAAAGACTGTGTGCACCTGTGCGCTATGTCTGCAAGCTCTACCCAGCTCCCAGCCCTTTGTGGTTGTTATTCTAGCCCAGACCATTAAAAGGGCCCTAATTCCTATGACATGATTATCCAGGTACCAAAGCCCATTTGTCACCTGCAGCAGAAAATTGAGTTAATGCACAACTAAAGGCAGCCAGGACTGTGTAATATCAACTTGATTACATCAAACTAGCTGCAAACCTAATTCTGCTGGATGACACTGCGTCGAGCTTGTCATCTCCAATCATTAAAGCTGTCAGGAATCCATCAGGTTTACAGCTAATTAGGTGAACACTAATGAAGCTGGCAAAACAACTTTTCTTTTTTTATGGCTGAGCGGACCTTTCAGTTTGGAGGGGAAAAAAAATTCTCGAGTATTCTCAAGGTTGCTGCGGACTAGATTTCCAGTTACCAATCAGCAGACATCTTTCTTTTTCCCACTCTCTCTCTATCAGTGCAAAGCAATCAATTTGTCATCACTCCCAGGATGCCACAAAAGCAGGCATGAACCTTATAACTTGCAGCTGTGAGAACTAAAAACAGGAGGGAAAAAAACGGGAAGTTTCTCGTCCACCCAAACCAACCAACAAACAAAAACCTCAAGCAGCTCACTTATTGGCCTGCGCATACTTAGCTCAGGCCTAAATGCGGAGGGTTCTTTCTTTCTCTCTCTCTTTCTCTCTCTCTTTTTTATCCCTCCCCTCTTCTTAAATAAGTAGCCCTTCAGACATTCTCCACCCCCTCCTCCACACGTCCATTAGGCAGAGGCATTCTGATAAAGTAAATCCAAAACCAGGGTATGGGAAAGAAAGAAAGCACTCACGCTGCCAACTTCTGATTGACCATTAAGCTATTGATGAATGTGCCTGTCAGGAGAGAGACAATTAAATCAAATATGAAACAAAGTCGTTTTGACGGGTCATTTTGATAGAGCAAAACCATTCTTCCATCTCCTATTAGCCGGGCAGTCAAGTTTTTATATAATGAATATTTCTTAACTGACCTGAGATTTCCTGGCTGGCTCTTTAAAAAAAAAAAAAAAAAAGGTGCAAAAGGGTTAGGGAACAGGTTGCTTTAAAATAAATAAATAAATAAGTAAAATCAACAGTACGTCCCCTCCTCCGCTAATATTTTAGGCAGGGAGTTATCAAAGAGTCTCAGATTGGCAAGGTGGAGGAGAGAAAGAGGAAACGACCGTAGAAAGAGTTCTAAACTAAATGTAAAGATGTAATCACATATGGTTCACTTGATTGAGGCACACAGATACCTTAAAATGTGCATCCAAAAAGGAAAGAAAAAAAAAATTTCAAAGACTGGAAGCAGTCCAAGGCACTCCTACTGCCCAACTTTGTGAAGGAGTCCTCCAAACTTTTGGAGTTTATTTTGGGCAGATAAGCTCATTGCTGGAGGCTGGAATTTAAAGGAGAGGGTAGGATGGGCAACAAGCACCAGCCAGGAGGTGACCTGAGTGGCAGCACCCTCCTTCTGACCACCGCTGGGACTTTCAAACTTCCTAAATTTGGGCAACACCGAGGACAGACAGCGGAACCTGCACTGTGTGCCCCACACCAGGTCTCTCTCCTCCTAGGATTCACTTAAGACAGGAACGAGAAAGTACATTTCTGAAGAAAGAGCGGTCCCTCTGCGTGACCCTGGGTAAGGAGACTCCTGAGTGCAGCCAGTGTGTGGGCACCACTGGCAGGGCCGGCTCACATGGTGGAAATGACCATCACCGTCACCCCCAGGGCTACTACGGGCACTCGGGCCACACAGGTTACAACGCCTTCATCCAAGAAGGGCGTCAGGTGATGCCCTGACCCTTCCCTCTGCTCTCCCTTCCTCCACTGAAAGAAAAGAGCAGAAAAGCCACGAACCTCCACTTAACCCTCTGATTCAGGCAGCATCTGAGCCTCTGCACATCTGAGTGTTACTCATATCAAAATACACCCCGTCCATATGTGGTCCTCTCAGCAATCGGTCCCAAATCCCCAAAGTTGCATTGACAGGGCCCTAGTGACGTCACAGAGCTTGGCCTCACCATTGGGAGTGATTTATTGATGTTTATTGGGAATGAATAGATCAAAGGCAGCAGCATGACGGGCGATCAATCAGTCATCAAATCAAGGGTGGCAAAGGGCCAGAAACCCTTCTTCCAGGCAACATGCCCCCAACTGACATTATTGCAAAATAATGTTATGTGTGTGGGTTTTGTTTTGTTTTCAATGATGCTTTTTCCAGAAAAGAAAAAAAAATCGGCTCAGTCTTAACAGGAGTTGACATCCTGGCGAAAAAAAAAAAAAAAGAGGGGGGGAGTAGACAGGCACGTCCCAGAACTAAGTGCTACGAGGAGATGAGGGTGGGAGAAGCAGTGGAAGGAGGGGATAGGGGCAAGGGAAAACAAACACGGATGGAGAGAACGCCAGCATCTAACAGTGACTTGACGGTCATCTGACAATACCGAGACCCAGTGCGCTCTGGCTTCCACCGCTTGCCCGCTTTGGGCCCAATAAATGAAGAATCAATCGTATTAGCAGTAAGGTGGCCGAAGGGACCCGCTCGCTCACTCGCCGGCTCTCTTCCGCCCGGCAGACACCAGGCTGTCCCCCGCCGGCCGGCCGCGGGAGGACGCGGAAGGTGTCCCAGGGAACTCAGGTGACCCCGCCCGCCCCCCACAGAAGGAGACCGAAGAGGGCTCCTTCCCATCCCCTCCGCAGCCGCAGAGCTGAAGAGCCAGGGACCCAGGCGGGCTCACTTGGCCCCGAGCGCGCGCGGCTCCGAAGTGGGTGCGAGCAGGAGCAGGGCGAGCGCGGCGGGGCGTCCGGGGGGCGCCCGGGACGCGAGGCGGGCGCACGCACCCAGAGAGCAGAGCAGCGAGCGAGCCTGGCGCCCCGGAGTTACTCTGCGCGGGCAGAGGAAGAGGGGCGAGGAGTGGGGCGAGGAGCGGGGTCGCCGCCGGCCGGAGGCGCACGGCAGCCAGAGGAAGAGGAGGAGGAGGAGAGGAGGAGGAAGGGGAAGCGGCTCGTACCTGCTGCGCGCCGGGGCGCCTGCTGCTTCCTCCTCGGCATGATGCTCCTCCGGCGACTGCCACTGCCGCCGCCGCCGCCGCCGCTGCCGGGCTGAGGAGAGGGAGGGAGGGGCGGCGGGCCCGCGGGGGGGCGAGGCGGGCCGGCTCTCAGCCTCCCCCCCGGAGAGCGGCCGCCCGCAGGATGCTGCTGCGCCCCGGCTCTCCGCGTCCCCCCCTCTCCGCGCTCCGCCGCGATCCCCGAACGTGCGGAGGGAAGAAGGAGGGCGGGCGAGGGAGGCGCGGGGAGGGAGGAGCGCGGGGGGAGGAGGAGGCAGAGGAGGAGGAGGTGGTGAAGGAGGAGGAGGAGGAGGACCGCGCTGCCGGCGGAATGGGAAGTTTGACAAATCGCTCCAGAGGCCCGAGGAGGAGGGGGCGGGGAGGAACGGCGGCCCTGCCCCCCCCCGCCCCGTCCCCAGACGAGGTGCGCGGGGTTCGGGGCCGGGGGGCGGGGAGAGGGGGAGAAGGCGGGCAGAGGGGTGGGAGGAGGAGCGCGGGAGCGGCCCCGGCTGGTCCTGCCCCGGCCCCCGCCCCCGGGCAGGGGGTCACGGCATCCGGGGGGGGCGCTCCGCCGCCGCCGCGGCCCGGGGCTCAGCGGTCCAGTCTTCTGCCCGCGGCGCGGCTGGAGCGGCGGCGTCGGCAACAGGCAAGCTTAAAGGAAAAGGAGATGATCGTGTCACTCGCCCGCCCGCGGGGGCGCCGCGCCCCCGCTCCGGGCCCCGGGCCTGTCTAGGACCCCCGCCGCGTCCGGGGAGGGGGTGCCGCCCCTCCGCCCCCGCCCTGTGCGCGCACGCAGGGGCGCGGCGCCGGCCCGGCCCAGCTCGTCCCGGGGCGCTCGCTACCCTCGCCCGCCCCTCTTCCCCACCCAGCCTCGCCCCCTGGCCGCCCCCGGCTGCCCCGCCCGTGCCGCACTCCTCTCCGCCCGCCGCGTCCAAAGCCCCCAGCTCTCTCCCCGGGCCTGGGCCCGCGCCCCCCGGGGATGCCAGGGCCCGCGGGCGGGCGCCGGCGCCCTCGAGGGAGGAGGCGGGCGCGGGCCGGAGTGGGTGGGGGCTGCTCCCAGACCCCGCGCCACCCGGGCTCCTCCCCCGGGACCCGCCGCAGCCACTTCCCCCAATTTTTTTTTTCCCGGGCAAACTTTCCCGGGCCCGTCCCGGGGGTCGGCGTGGGAGGGGGGTGCCTCCAAGTTTCCTCCTCCATACGGGAAGATCAAGGTCCTTCCACCCCCACCCCGCCCTTCGCCCCTAGGCGCCGGGCCGCGCCCCCCACCCCAAGAGCTGGCAGATCCGAGGGCGGGACAGGGGGCGGGGGAAGGGACTCGGGCTCCCAAGCCCATCCCCCGCCCCAGGGCGCCCCCCGAGAGGGGGCCACCGCGCCCAGCGCCCGGCTTGCCAGCAGTACTGGGCTAAAAGAATTGATTATTGATTGGGTGATCGGGGTCGCTGAGGCGCCGAGCGGGCCAGACCGGAGGGCCGCGGAGAGGAGGAGCTGGCAGGGCTGCGTTGGCGGCGGGGCGACGCGGCTCACTTACGAGCGGCCGCGAGGGCGCGGGTGGGCCGGAGCTCATTGGGACGACCCCCGGGCGGCGGCAGCGGAGCGGGAGCCGGAGCCCGAGCGGCGCGGGCGGCGGCGCATCGATGCGCTGCGGGCTCGATTGCGTCTCCCTGGGCCAGCTCTTGGGCCGGGAATGGGGCGGCCGCGGCGGGTCTGGCTCCCGGCGCTGCCGGGCGGCGGTAGTGGGGGGTGCGGGGGCGGCCGCCGGGCCCAAGGTCCCCGAAGTGGCGCTGCTCCTGGGCGCGCCTCTTGGGGCCCGGAGGCTCCCCTGGGCCCCGCGTCCGATAGTCCCGGCTAGGGCCGGAGCCCCGCGCCCCTGGGACTGGCTGCCTGAGCGTTCCCGGAGCTGCAAACCCCGGCCTTCTTCCTTCCTTCCTTTTTTCCTTCCTTCCTTCCTTTTTTCTTAATGTTTCCTTTTCTTGTGTTTCTTTCTCCCTTTTCTTCTGCCCTCTCTCTTTTATCTTTTTCTTTGTGATTGTTTATGCAAGTTTGTTTTAAAAGTTCACCGGCATGCTTTCTTTTCTTTTAGACCAGGAGACCGTGATCTCACCCAGACGGTAAGATCAAAAGTCTCCGCTCGCCCCCAGCCTGCGGGCTTGGGCTCGGTCCAGACGCCTCCCTGAATGCAGATGTGCTGCTGCCGTCCTCCCGGGCTATAAAGCCGCCTCCAGCGCCTTCGCGCGCGCAGGAGCGCTCGGAGTTGCGGGGTGCGGACCCCGGGCGGTTGCGGGGAGTCGGAGTCAGGCGGCGGCTGGGCTCCCGGGCTGGCCTTGTGTGTGGCGAACTCGGGGGCGGGGGCGCGGCGAGCGGTCGGTGCCTGCGGCCGCGGAGGCTAAAACAGCTGCCCCTCCAGGCCCGGGAGACGCGGCCGCGGGGCGTGAAACGCTTCTTGCGAACAAGGAAACGGTGAGTTGGCAGACGCCGCCCGCGGCCTCTTGGTTCTGGTGGCGGCGCCGGGAGCCTCTTGCCTGGAGGAGGGTAGGCGCCGCGCGAGGTCAGCTCCTGCCCGCCCCTGGCTCACCTTCCCAGCGCCGAGCGCCCATTTGGGCGCGCCGGGAGTGAGGGGTGCACAGCGCGGGGCGCGACGCACGGAAGGCTGAGAGTTTCGCCCCGGCTTGTGCTCCCCCTCCTCCTTTCCTTCCCAGCGCTGCTCTCCAAGCCCCTGTTCCCTCCGCCCCCTCCCCCTGCGGGCCGCGGCCTGAGCTCTGGTCTCCGAGCTGCCCGCAACCACCTCCCGATCGCTACCTCGCCCTCCCCCGGCTCAGGCGCCGTGCGCAGTACGATCCGCCCTAACATCTGTCCGTCCAACCATTGGCGCATCCATCAGTGTCAATGAGCTGCACATCGCAGCGACAGCCCGTCACGCGCAACACGGGCTATGCGGAGTGCAGACTGCGGCCGCGCTGCCTTCCCCGGACACTCAAACAGGGTTCTGGCCCGGCGTGGCACCGCCAGGAGCCCTGATCTACATAGTGTTCTTTTAACCATACGCACCCCCTTTAATGCCAAGAACTCCAAACGGGGCTAGTTTTGCAGGCCATGCTAGCAATGGGACAGATGGAGAGGGACACGGTCAGCCTAGCCCTAGCAGTTTCAAGTTCTCCTTGCCCCTTCTCTGCGGACTGGGTGTGGCTAGGAGAAAAGGAAGGGAGACTTCCCAAATCCGCACCAAGCAGAGTCTGTACTTGAATGCAGGGGCTTAAATCCGCTTCAGCTCGGCCGAATCTGGGGCACATCTTATAGTCAGAAGTTCTAAAGCTAAAACTTTGCCAGGCCCTACCTGGCTGTTGCCCGACAGTGAGGAGCGAGAGAGGGGGAAGGAAACGGGTATCCTGGTGAAAATCAGGGACTCGATTTAGGGAGAAATAGTGTCAGGGTGGCAGTAAGTCTGTAATTCACATGTAATTTACAGAGTGAGAAAGGGCAAGGCCTTATGTTTGAGAAGCCAGAGCTTTGCGGGCAGTTCCCGGCGCCATTTCTCCAAGAACGCTGACCTCCCCTGTGGTTGCAAATTCCCTTGCTTTTGCCTCTTACTTTCCCCACCCCTACTTCGCACCCCACTGTCCAGTGGACAGATATCTTCTTATAGGTGCTTAATCACTTTGGCCAGGCCAAAAGGTCTGTCTGGTCCTCCTCCTAAGAAGTTCAGGGGAAGGGTGCACGGAAGACCTACTCCTCGGACATCTGTGAGGTGGCGTCCCCGGCATTTTTCTTGACTTTATCCCTACTGCATATATGTCTGCCCGGGCGTCTGGTGAGTTCGGTCCCACTCAAGAGTCGGCTACAGGAGCTGGTCAAAATCTGTGCTTGTCTTCGTTCCGCGATTCGCGAGGTAGAAGGGATACCGGAGCCGCTTTCCGGCCAGCGACGGGAGCCAAGGTCCGCGCGGTTCCGGAGGAGGCTGGAGGCGGCCGCGGCGGCGCCCACAGGGGCTCCTTCCTGCGGGAAGGAGGGACCGCGCTCCGGGGTGCGGCCGAACCGCCTTCACGCTAGACTGGAGGGCGGAAAAGCCGGCGCCCTGCGGAGGAGCTAGAACTCTGTGGAAGGTAACACCGGCTAGAAATCTTTCCGCCTCACTTGGAGGAGTTGCAGATCCCCCCTGGAAAGCAACAACAGGCTTCCGCTCCCGCGCACGCACCCAGTGACTTAGCTGAGTGAGAGTCACGCAAAAAGTGACCCACAGCCCAGTGAGACGCTCCCAGCTTTCCGAGGTGCCACTTTTCTGGGACGTTTTTAAGCCCTAAAAGCAAAAGAAGGAAAAGTGGGCTGAGGGGCAGTGGCGAGACTTAGCGAAATGCCCAATGGCAAATGCCCATGGGAGAAACTGGCGGCTCCCATTGTGGCCAAGTGGCTCACCCAGCAGCGCGGTGGTAACGTTTAAGTCCGGAAGATTCCCAGGGGCCGTGAAGACAACTCATGACCCCCAAGATTGCGGCCGGGGCCCAGTGGAGCCCCGGTGCCCCTTCGCGGCGGTGCGCTGAGCGTCCTTTGGTACAGACCCTCCCGCGTGCCAGTTCTTCAGGTCAGGGGTTAGAAATGTGACTCTAGCCTTCCAAGCCCTGAGAGCTTCAGGCCCTAGTCGCTGGGCCTACCTGAGTGGGGTATGTCCCGCCGCGTGAGCAGAGCGTTCATGAGCTTGTTCAACCCGAGCCCCATCCGGGCAAATTGGGGGTGGGGGGAGTCAAGGGCGGGGCGGGGCAGACCTAGTGTGTGGTGGCTAGGCAAGGAGCTGGGCCCCAAACAGGACACTCCAGGTGCGGAAGCTAATAGTGAGGGCACGGCAGTCGGGCCACCGCCTGGAGGCAGCCAAGGTTGTGTTCAAGGTGCACATGAGGGCAGTGGGGGACCTCCCAGCCTGACCCCGGGGGAGGGCGGAAGTATGTCCCCATTTGGCGTGGCCACTGCGGAGAGCGCTTCAGGAAAGAAGGCGTCCTTGAAGCTGCCAGTCCGGGACAGATAACCAGGATAGGCCGAGGTCCCAGGAACTGAGGGGCCT